TGTGGCAGAATGGCTACTCTGAACGTCCATGGAAAAACACCTTGAGTAGCTCGCGTGTCATTTTTATATGTATTTCTGCTTGGTTTTCATCTTAGTGCTTCTAAACCTTGGATGTTTCAAATGTGCAATCTTCTTGTGCAGGGTTCATGGCGGTCTTCATGCTTCTCTCTGTCACTCATCAAGGCGTGTGTGTATGCGTGTGTGTGTGTGTGTGTGTGTGTGTGTGTGTGTGTGTGTGTGGCGAGCACAGTGACACTTTGGCTGTCGAGTGTCACAGCTGTAGAAAAGTGTGCGCTTCCTACACCCGAGGTTTTCAGCATGGGTCATCTCATCTCATCCACTTAGTTCCATTGGGAAGAAAGTAAATTATTTTAAAACTATCATAATGTTCAGGTCTAGTATGCTTTGAAATTCACTGAGGTCCCCATTTATTTTCCCTGTTTAGCAAGTAAATAAGAATTATTTGCAATTAGCAGCTTAATTGTTTGTATATCAGCGAGGGAACACTCGTGAAAAATTAAAATGAAAACAATTTGTCTTTATTTCTCAGTCAGATCCTTCTCATTTTCTTTCCCTTTGCCTTTACTCTTGGTGAAATCACCCTTCAAAGGCAGACGTGGTGTGTGTGTGTGTGTGTGTGTGTGTGTGTGTGTGTGTGTGTGTGTGTGATGTGTGTGTGTGTGTGAGTGTGAGATGTGTGTGTGTGGTGTGATGTGTGTGTGGTGTGATGTGTGTGTGGTGTGATGTGTGTGTGGTGTAGTATGTGTGTGTGGTGTCTGTGGGGTGGGGTGGGGTGGGGTGTATGGGTGTGGGTATGAGTGGATGTGTATGTGTGTATATGTATGTGGTGTGGTATGTGTGTATGTATGTGTATGTGTGTGTGTGTATAGTGTAGTGTATGTGGTTTGGTATATGTGGTGCAGTATAGGGGGAAGGTGTGGGTGTGTATGTGGTGTGGCATGTGTGGTATGGTGTGTGTGGTGTGATGCAGAGTGGGGTATGTGTGTATGGTGTGGTGTGGTGTATGTGGTATGGTGCAAAGTGGGGTGTGTGTGTGTATGGTATGGTGGGGTGTAGTGTGGTGTGGGATGTGGGTGTGTGTATACATATATATATACATACATACATACATATATATATATATATATATGATGTGGGTGTGTGTGGTATGTGGTGTGTGGTTTGGGTGTCTGTATACATATACATACATATACATATATATATACACACACACATATATATGGTGTGGGTGTGTGGTGTGGTGTAGTGTGGTGTGTGTGGTGTGGTGCAAAGTGGGGTATGTATGTATATGGTGTGGTGTAGTGTGGTGTGGGGTGTGGGTGTGTGTATACATATATATATATATATATATATATATATATATATGTATATAGTGTGTAGTGTGGTGTGTGTGGTGTGGGGTGTGTTTGTGTTGCATAGTGTATGTATAGTGTGTTATATGTTGTGTGTGTGTGTGTGTGTGTGTGTATGTGTGTGGTGTGTCTGTGGTTCAGGAGAAAGGTATCCCAGCCTCCCTTCAGAGGCAGCTGGATATGAGTTATGTTTAATTGTTTACTAGAATATTTCAGAGGGATACATATAGCTCCTCGACATGTATCAAACTCTACTCTACCTTAAAGTTTACTTGAACATTTTTATTGTGTATAAAGTACAATGATGACAGTTTTTGCACACTTAATTGAAGATGTTTTCAGTATTTCCAAAGATCTGTTTTTGTTAAATGTCATATAAGATATGCTCTGTGCATTGGTTAAATCTTTTTGGTTTTTCGAGACAGGGTTTCTCTGTATAGCCCTGGCTGTCCTGGATCTCACCTCTGTAGACCAGGCTGACCTCAAACTCACAGAGATCTGCCTGGCTCTGCCTCCCGAGTGCTGGGATTAAAGGTGTGTGCCAGCACCACCCGGCCTCATTGGTTAAATCTTTATGGAGCGACAACACAGGCTTCCTCTTGGATTAGTTTGACCAAGAGTGAGCCCAAATTAGAATTCCCGCTTCTCTCCCTGTGTCTTCTATCTGTGTCTAACAGAGGGCTTTGTTTTCTCTTTTATTAGACGGCACAGAAAGCATCACTAGGGAAGGAATGAGGGATACTTTACAAAAATCTTCAGCCAGCTTTTACAAAGATCAAGTTACTGGCTCCAACTGACCCCAGCTGACCTGGAAGCAGTCAGTGTTGCCAACACAAGCTGTATCTGCAGGGTGTTTCCAGCCTGTTTGCAGCTTTCATCAAATTATTACCATAACACACATGCACATGCATCACTCAGAGTCAGCAGCATGGAAGAAAGTAGAACTTGAGATTAAAGTTTGCATTAGCTTAGGCTGTAAAAGCTGATTACCTGGGGGATTAGAGGGAAGTAAGGTTAGTTCTTACACAGTTCTCTTAAAGGCCAGCTTCAAACAGACTGATGGACAGTGGGATAGCAAGTATTAAGTGATCTCAGGTATATTATCAACTTGGCTGTGAGGGCCAGGGGAGTTCAGACTCAATGTAAGAGATGTTTTCATAAAGTTGTATCATTACAGCACCACACTCATTTCTTTTGTCTTGGAAAAGAAAAGTCCATCTTAAATTAGGAGTGAGCAAGTGTGTATGTGAGGGGTGTGTGTGTGTGTGTGTGTGTGTGTGTGTGTGTGTGTGTGTGTGTGGTTTAACTTCTACAAAAGCATAGTTAGCTTCAATTCTTTTATGTCCATAGTGTTGGTGAGCACATCTCATGTGAGGAAATTGAAGGTTATTCAGTTCACAAGACATCAAATTATTTTATAGTTATTCAATTCACAAGACATCGAATTATAGTTATTGCCTAAACAATAACCACACACATATCTGCCACCTGACATATTTGCAAGTAGTGATTAAGTATGACTTCAGCCATATTTCCCGAAGGCTGGTTTCTTTTTGAAGATGAAAAATGCATGAGTCGCCTTTCTTACAGAACTCACATTTGTTTGCTGGGCGACTTAGCACTTGGAAGTTGCTCTCTCCTCCACTTGACTGTCCAGTCTGCCAGCCTGGTTTGTCAGAGGTCTTGGTCCTTTGCCCACTGTGTTCACATAGCTGAATCTTTATCACATTCCTCGTGGCTCTTCTTATTTTTGTTTTGTGTTGAAACAGGGTCTCACTAGGTAGCCCAGGCTGACCCAGAGCTGTCAATGTAGCCAAGGCTGTTCTTGAAATCATAATCTTCTCATTTCAGTTTCCTGAGTGTCTGGGTTGCAGGTCTAAGTCACTACACCCTGCTTTTCTTCTCTTTTGATAAGCCTTATCAGACAGCATCTTTTTCCCTTACTCATATAAGCCAAAGAAAGGTAACTTCAGTGAAAGTTAATTTGGACAGACTACCTCTAATCTCATTGGCTTTAATCGGTTGCGTCACCCCATGAGTGCACTCTTATTGGCAAGTGCGTTTGGTTCCAGCTGAGGCTGTGGGTCACAGTGTTATACTTACTGTTCATTGGTGAAGCAAGTCAGGACAGGAAGTCAAACAGGGCAGGAACCTGGAATCAGGAGCTGATGCAGAGGCATGGAGGAGTGCTGCTTACTTGGCTGCTCCCCATTGGCTTGTTCAGACTGCTTTTTTTTATAGAACTCAAGACCACCAGCCCAGGGATGGCACCACCCTCAATAGGCTGGACCTTTCCCACCAATCACTAATTAAGAACAATGCCACAGCCAGATCTTATGGAGACATTTTCTTAATTGGGGTTCTCTCCTCTCAGATGACTTTAGCTTGTGTCAAGTTGACATAAAACTAGCCAGCACAAACTGAATTGCTTAATTGTGCTTCTGGACCCATCTGAGGCCAACACAGTTCAAGGACAGTATGTATTTGTTTGTTTATTTGTGTTCTGCAGTACTGGTGATTGAGTGTAGGATCTCCCACATGCAAGACATGCATTTTACTACTGAGTTATGTCCCAGGTCTCAAAGAGATTCTTTAATATCTTTACTTGAAATAGTGATTAAGAATTTCAGGTACCTATTTTTTAATTTTCAAAATTTTACTTTTATATTTACTATGTGTGTGGGGTGGACACATGTGTGGAAGTCAGAGTACAACTTGTATTAATCAGTCTCTTTCCTTTCATCCTGTGGGTCTTGGGATGAAAACTCATACCATCATTCTTGGTGGCAGGCACCTTCACTGTCAGTCCTTAAGTACTAGTGGTTTTTTTTAAACAATATTTTTTATTAATTCTTTGAGAATGTCATACAATATATTTTCAGCATATTAATCCCCTCCCCCACCTTCTCCTATAACCACCTTCTCCAGCTGCCTATCCCTTCACATCAAACCCTGAGGTTTCTTCTTTTGTTATTCATTTTTCTTTCCCCATACAGGCCAGTTTGTGTTGCCCAGCTAGTCTTGGCAGTGGGGCCTGCTGTGGGGTGGGATAGACCTAACAGATGTGATATCGGTAGAGAAAACTGCTGTCTCTCTCAGCATCTATCAAATGCCAGTATCTCCCCAGATATTGGTGGGACTTTTGTGTTTTCTGCACTGGGATTTTATCTGGCTGTAGCTTGCATGGGTCTTGTTCATGCTGTCACAGTTGGCATAAGTCATAGTGCATCTGCCCTGTTGAGTCTGAAACTATGTGCTGTTATCTCAGTGGATACACTGCCTCTGGTTCTTACAATCTCTCTGTCCCCTCTTCTGTGAAGAGCCCCTGTGCTTTGGGGGGAGGAGTATAATATGTTTTTACCATTTAGGGACAAGTACCGCACAGTCTCTTGTTATCTGTAAATTGACTAGTTGAGGGTCTTTGTGTTAATTGCTGTCTACTTCACGGAGATGCGTCTCTGAGAAGGGTTGAGAGAAGTATGGGTACAGGGCAAAGTCATTAAAAGTCATTTTAATGTCTATTTACTTGTTTTTTATATCAACACCTCCAATGTGAAAATTGGATTTCTTCCAGTGCCAATTAATTTCCCTTGCTGAGTGTGCATTAACATCCTTTATGTATTTCAGCCCAGAGGTCCTGAAGAGTGAGCCGTATGGAGAGAAGGCTGATGTCTGGGCTGCAGGCTGCATCCTTTATCAGATGGCAACTCTGAGCCCTCCCTTCTGTAGCACCAACATGCTCTCCTTGGCTACCAAAGTAGGCCACAGGGAACAAAAGGGCCCCACAGCTGCCAGCCACACCCTGTTCTTCACAAAACCCTTGTGACTTACACAGCCAACAGTTAGAAGCATGCATTGTTTGATTTCCTACACAACCCAGTCGATCTTATCTCTCCTCCAAATATCTATCACAGTGCATGTATATTCCTATTTGTTGTATTCATTTGTCATATAAAGTTATGAAAATAAATTTCCAATTACTGTTTCTTTGTGGTCTGGAGATGGAACCCAGGGCCTAACCCATACTAGGCAAATGCTCTATCATTGAGCTTCATCCCCAGACTCCACCTTAGGCCCACAAGCCACCATATTATATTATCCCATGTATTACTTTATCATGAGCCTAAGGTTAACTTTAGCTCAGCTTGGAGAATAAGATTCTGTATTCTAGAACTGTCTAATTGGCTATTGGCATTAACTTTCATTTGTTGGGATGTTTCCATTCCTGATTAACTTTTGTGTGTGATGTTATATGAATTTATTAGCAATCCACATTGTAGCCATGAATGACTGCTCACAGATAGCATGGTTCTTTGATGCTGTTGCTATTTTCTGCTTGCCTTGCAGATAGTGGAGGCAGTGTACGAGCCGGTGCCAGAAGGCATCTACTCTGAAAGAGTGAGAGATACCATTAACAGGTAAATAGTCTCACAATTTAAAACACATAGCTGCCATCATAAAATCCCCACGTCCTTATATAGTCACTACCTATGGGTAAAGAGTTACGAAAGGTCCCTCAGGTAATCCAAACCTAGAAAGATATTTGGGCATCATTAGTAATAGTGACTCTTTGGAAACTGTTGGGATATCCAAGAAGAACTTGACAGAGATGTACAGATATTAGGCCTATCTATAAGGCCTATGTTAACATGAAAAATGTGTGTAATGTGAAACTAAGTAAAACAAATAGTATGAAAATCTATTTTTCTGAAATAAATAAAATATGCACAAATATGGAAAAAAAATAACATAGAAGCCAGATAGGGCTGTGTTCACCGATAAAACCGCAGGTACTTTTAAAAGTTGGTAATACTGTATTTTATACTAAATTCTCAAAAAATGAGAGGCTTTCCCCATTAATATAGAAGGAGTTTATTAAGGGTTGTTGCCTTCTGGCCTCACACTCAGACCAATCCTGCCTGCTGCTCTCCGGGTTCCAGCTACTCCCTTCATGACCTTTCCCCTACTGGTCCTTTCTTCTGAAACCCTCTCCTCTCAGACACATGCATGGTTCTTGCCCTCACTGCCCATGGACCGACACAGAAAGATCTCAGATCGGGAAGCCTACTCTGAGCACCTACTGTCTCGGTGCTCTCTAGCCTGCTTTAAAAACCAGTCTCTGTGCTCCTGTGACTGTTAACCTTTGTTGTCAGTTTGGATGGATTTGGAATCACCTAAGGGACATACTGTTGGGTATATCTGAGGCGGGGTTCCCAGAGAGGCTGAGTGATGAGGGTCACTCATCAGGATCTTTCCACCCTGAATGTGGGCAGCATCACCATATGAGATGGGGCCCCAGACAGAAGCAAAACAGAGAAAGGGAGCTGAGAACCAACGGTTTCTCTCCTTATACTGTGTATAGATCATCACATCACACTCCTGCCATCATGCTTTCCCATCATGAGGGACTGCATCTCCTCTTAAGTGATAAGTCAAAATGAACCCTATTTCCCTGAATGGCTTTTGTCAGGTAATTTGATTGTTACACCAAGGAAGAAAACTAATACACAAAGTCGGTACTGAGAATGATGTTGTTGCTGTGAGAAATCTGACCACATCATTTGCAGATCTTTTTTGTTTTCATCTTTATTTAATTTCATTTTATGTGCATTGGTATGGGGATGTCAGGTCCCCTGGAACTGGAGTTACAGACAGCAGTGAGCTGCTGTGTAGGTGCTGGGAATTGAACCCTGGTCCTCTGGAAGAATAGCCAGTGCACTTAATTGCTGAGCCATCTTTCCAGCCCCATTTGTAGATCTTTGCAACTGGTTTGTGGAACAGATATGGAAGAGTTTGGAGCTGTGGGCTAAAGAAGCTGCCAAGTGCTGTAAGTAGAGCTCCGTGGGCCACTCTGGTGGGAGTTTCGAGCACCAGGGTTGAAAGGAAGTGCCAAATGGCCAGCTGTTGAGGTTTCAGGAAGGAAGGCATGTTCTTGCTAGGAACTGGACTGAAGCCACTCTGGTTTGCCTGGTGCTCCTGCAGCTTGCCTTGCGGCCATGGCAGACAATTCCTGCCCTAAAGCAGGAGACAAAATAATCCTCCATTTAATCAGGTATTAATATTTGGTGACAGCAGCAAAAAATATAACTTATGCCCCTAAAATATCACACATAAGCATACACATACTTATTTGCTGACCGTCTCTTCTTCACTAAGTAAACTTGAAAGCAGACATTTTGTTACCTTGCTTCCAACTTGTTTAGTATGCAGAGGAGTGCCTGTCACAGACCAGACCCTCAGTCAACACTGGCTCTGGGAGTTATGGCTGACATCTGGTGTCAGTGTCAAGGCCATCTTGGTATTTCCGTGGGACCAACATTAGTTTTCTGCTCCATCAGTCTGGACCACATCCTTTTCATTTTGGATGTTTAAAGTCCTACACTCCCCTTAGATGGACAAGTTTCTGCCTCTTTCTGAGACTCTGAAACCCTGGCTTCATGTCTATCCTGCATATATCACCATCTCCAATGACATACTACAGTGGCCATTCCCTTGGCTCTTTGGTTACTCTTGTAAGGTCATTGTTTTATGTTGGTTAATGCCTTACCTCTTTGTGGAATAATTTCTTGACCACGTATACAGAATGCTGACCTAGTCTCTTGAGCCTCGGCTTCTATAGAACACCCTGCTCAGGCAGACCCTGTGTGCTGGAGATGCTGCTCAGGCAGACCCTATGTGCTGGAGATGCTGCTCAGGCAGACCCTATGTGCTGCAGATTCTGTCAAGGGATTTCTATGTCTGCTTCCTCATTGGTGTAACAGGGATTGTCACCAAGGGTGACAAGCAGAGTGGCACATAGCAACAGCTTCTCTTCTCAAAGCTCATGTTGGTGGGCTCCTGAGGAACAGACAAAGGGGAAGAAAGATGGAGGGAAATGAGATTCCATTATATACAGGGCAATGTTTGATGGGGAGTGGAGGAGGTGGGGGATGTTGCTTGTGCTGTGGATTGCACACCGTGGGTATAGTGCTAAGATGGGCAAAACCACTTCCATTAGCTGGGAAAGTGGACTAGTTTTGGAGATATGTAGAGTTGGATTTATTTAGTTACAACTTTGAGACATGGAAGCAAGACCAGGGGAAGGGCAAATGTCAGCAGCAAGATAAGGACAGGTACCTCAGGAAGTACACCCCAAGATTAGCAATGGCTGTCTGGAGGCTTTAGGGGGGCCTCCAGGAGTAGTCTTCACAGTAGGTTCTGAGTTCACTGCCATCATAATGTTTCAAAGGATGAATGGTACTTAGCAGGGATTCCAGATGAAATGCTTTATTGCTCTTGTTTTGCATGTGTATGTGTGTGTGGTGGTGTGGTGTGCATGCATATATGTACATGTATATATATGTAATACATATATATGTATATAATGTGTGTGTATGTATATATGTCCACATGTATGAGGGTGCATGTGTATGTGCCTGGAGGCCAGTGTTGATGCTGGGTGTCTTTCTTGATCATTCTCTTCTGTGACACTAAGTCTCTCAATTGAACCCAAGCTCATCAATTAGATAGTCTATGGCCAACTTGTCCTGGAGATTCCCTTTTCTCTGGCTCCTAAGAGCTGGCTACCACAACTGCGTGACTTTTATTTGGGTTCTCCATGTGCAAATCCTTTTGTTGGCCAGTGCTTTATCCACTGATTCATCTCCACAGCTCCCAGATGAAATGTTTTTGAAGGTGTTTATAATTTAAAATACTAAGCAATGACAATAATTTAGACCTGGTAATTTAACTTTATAGCTAACTCTAAATTAAGATCGCAAGGTATATGCTATAACATTTTCATTTAAAATTATTCAAGATTCCTAATTATCTGCATTTGCATTAAGAAAGTTTTATCTCTAGAACACTTGAAGCCATGATCTATTGTGAGTTTAAGGCAATTGTATATTTAATTTGCTTTGAATTTTTAGTGTTGAAAAACTAAGTTCCAGTAGAATTAGAGAACAATTTCAGATTTCCCATTTTCCTAGTCTCTCATTTTCTTCAAAATATTGGTGCAAGGTTATGTACAAGCCGAGTTCTTAATAACTATCGATGACTCAGCAAATTACTACGTTCAGCAACCACCCCTGAGTTTGATAATAACTTAGTGATTTTTTTTTTAAAGGTTGGCCTGGGCTCCTTATCCTCTTGTCTCAGCCTCCTGGCTGCTGGCATTACAGGCTATTAGCAACACACACTACTCATTCTTAAACTCTGTGTTTTTTCCAATCACATATACCTCATTTCTTGAGTTCCCTAGCACCTCATTTTTACTTTGCACATTCTTGTCAGGCACAGTCCACAGTATTTGCATTTCTAACATGCAGTCTTTCCTTTTTCCTGTTTACATGGAGTATTCACACATTTTGTTATCCAAACTTTCCTTTCCTAAGCAAGCTTTTAAATTGGGAGAATAATTTAGGCACCCTGAAGAGTCTGGAACAACAACAGAATCTATCTTGTTGCTTTGCCTGGTACCGGCATTGCTATTTTTACCAGCCAGTGTGCAGCCAGCTGTGGAGGAGCAGTGCGGGAGGCAGGCTGGCGGGCGACTTCCTCTCCTGTCTTTTCTCCTTTCCCTTTTCTTTTCCAAGGAGGTCTATTTCCTTTTATGCACTAACTATTCCAAGTGTGTGAGTTTTGCTTTCCGGCTGACTGCATAAGCTGCCTGCTGCTTTGTTTCCAAGCAGACATGATGCTTAGCAAGCTTAGCCATCTGTGAGCGGTAAGGACAAGGGAGTCATCACATGCTCACCCTGCCTTCAACTCTGTTTTGTAAAACATGAACACTATCCCTTGCAGTTTTTTTCCGTCTCATCTCTGACTGGAGCACAGAGTTGGTGAATGAGAGGAGTATTCCAGATTTTTTCCTCTACAGCATGATGTTATGCTTATTTGATTAGGGAATCATACATGTGTCTCTGAAGAATGTGTGTTCACTCCCAGAAGTCCACAAGTCTGTGTCTGGACATCTTGGTTAAGGATAGGTAAACTCTTCAGGTGTTAGGCTGTGTTCACCCATTTACTGATTCATTTGCCCATTTATTGAGTACTCCTCAGGAGCCAGATTGTGCTTTAAATGCTAAGATCATTGTGAAAGGGACACACGCTTTTCTGCTCAAGGCGTTTTCAGTGTAGTGATGAATTAGAACATTAAAATCCCATCATGCAATAGTTCATAAACTGCGATGCAAACAGTGCAGTGATCTTGGTGTTGACTCCATGACTATGTATATGGCCTTCTGACAGTATCTGGATGATATGTGAACAGTACTCCCTTCCTGATGATATTCCATGCCTCTAAACCCACAGAAACATTAACACTCAATGTGTCAAATTACTTAAGCAAAATTTCTTAAGAAAATTTGAGAGGGCAGTTTAGACATATTCCAGTGAAGACTGTCTATAACAGTGTATTCCAACTTAAATCATCCCCATGTCCCTGAAATTCTGCCATCAGAAGCAAAACACAGAATGTTAGTATAAGACCCAGTGAAATGAAAATAATCAGACACAGGGAGTGTAAACAGCTCTGTTGGCCTTAAAAGGAATGATAAGGCTAATTAATACCCAATTGCAAGAAAAGTCCAAAATGCTCCCAGCTTTATATTTCATCATATATGAAATATTTCATCAGCTTCTACATATCAGCTTTTCATCTTAGCTCAGAGTCTCTCAGTTTGTGAATAGTTCTTTTGTATGTCCAAATAAGCTATCATCTTAAAAAAAAATACATAAAAAATATGACTTTTTTTTCTTTTTAAGAAATTGTAACCCAGGTTGCCCTCAAACTGATGATCTTCCTGACTCAGGCCCCTGAACAGTGGGGTGTTACTTTTGACACTTCTCTAAGTCACTGGCCAGTATTTTGTATTTGTCTGTGTTTTGTAAACCCAGACTAATCATGTTGTGTTAATATTGGCAGAATATGGTCAAAAAGTTGTAACCTCCCAGAAACTCTCCTTCCTCTATTTGCTTCAGAGAGGCCCTGTTTGCCTGGCTGACCAATGAGCTAGCTGCAATTGCAGAAAGCAGTCAAACATGCAGGAGACCCTTCCTTTGCCCACCTTGAGACCCGAGAGATTCATGGCCAGCCTACAACCCTGGGCTGTGAGCCCAAGTGCAAAGCCCTGTAGCTGCTCCCTTTCCCCAGATTTTGGATGTCTTTTTGTCTTTTGAGAAGTGCTGGGTTCAGAGCTGTGTCTGAGACTTGTCCTGTCCCTGCTCTTTTTTTTTTTTTTTTTTTTGGTTTTTCAAGACAGGGTTTCTCTGTGTAGTTTTGCACCTTTCCTGGAACTCACTTGGTAGCCCAGGCTGGCCTTGAACTCACAGAGATCCGCCTGGCTCTGCCTCCCGAGTACTGGGATTAAAGGCATGCGCCACCACTGCCCGGCCCTGTCCCTGCTCTTGGATGCAGGTACCATGATGGACACTCAGTTGGGCTGAACTTGACCTCCCCCTGCCATTCCAACCATGACCTTTGTTACACTTACCTTGTCTTCTCTCAGGTGCCTTACTCCTGATGCAGAAGCCCGTCCAGATATTGTAGAAGTTAGTTCCATGATCTCAGATGTGATGATGAAATATTTAGACACCTTATCCACATCCCAGCTGGCCTTGGAGAAGAAACTGGAGAGGGAGCGGAGGCGCACACAGAGATATTTTATGGAAGCCAACAGGAATGCTGTTACATGTCACCATGAGCTGGCTCTGCTGTCTCAGGTAAGTAGAAAACTCTTGGTCCCACATGAGGCCTTCTAATAGTCTGTCTGGTTCTTCATGTTTGTCTTAAGGAAAAATTGCCAACAATAAGGAAAATAGTCAAAAAGCAAAGTATTTCCTCATCATATAGTTACATATTTGTATCCATTATTATATTCTACAAATGAATTTAAATAATTCAGAATTACTGATCTTCCACAGAACTTATCCGTAATGTATTGTGTACTGTGAAACCAGATCATCAGGAAGCACTCTTAGAAAGTCATCATGTTAAGCTAATGGTCTCTGTGTGTAGCACCTAGTGCTTATAAGTATTTATTTTCCTTAGTCATCTTGTCGCACTTGAGGATAAACATGTATGTTCACTCAGAGAATGTCTTTCTACTTTTCTTACTGGTCTGTGTAGCCTCTCTGCTTGCTGCCTGTGTATGCCGTGTTGAAGCCTCAACTCTCAATACTTCTGGGTTTTTCTTTCCAGAACTATTTTGGTATCTAAGTGTTTCTCAGAGTACAGCTTGGAGGAGTCCAGAGCTTCGCTTGGGCTCCTGGTGGCTGGCAATGCTTTTGCTTTGTCCTACCTCCCTTTCCTGGACCTTGGCAGTGCGCTCAGTCTTCAGACACCCCTCAGAAGTACTGCTCCTGTCCTGAGGGTGGGTCTCAATACTACAGGACCATAAGGCTCATTCTTGGTCGTCATGTCTGGTCATTGGTTCCTTCCCACCATCCCAAAGACTTGCTCTATGTGAGGAAATGAGACAAAGAGTCAGTCTCAGGGACCAGACCACACTGACTCCTGGAGTAACGGCATTTCAGAGAACCCTGTTCTAGAGAGAAAGAAAACACCGCTCTAGAGTACGCATGTCTTGAGGTACTCAAGAATCTTAAACTTGAGTACTCCATGCTTTTGTTTTCTGGGGAGACTCATCCTCATTACTTTAACTGCTGAGTCCAGCTGTGGCTTCAAGGCTGATCTACGTTGGCTTTCTAATGTTAGGAGGGGTAACCTGGAGCTGTGGATCTCACTGAGCCCCAGGCTGGGAGCAGGGCTCACCTTGTTTATTATTTTCCTCCTGACTGCATAAAATCAGACAGCAGTATGAAACACACCCTTCCACGCACATTTTATGTTTTACTAGATTAAGATGCAAGAGATTTAGCTGTTCTCTCCATCTTAGTACGAGCTTGGAGGCTGGTATTAAGCTCTGCACTGCAATGCTCCAGCTGGATCCCAGGTGGATATGAAAGGGTCATTTTTCATTAGGTTCATGTGGTGGAGGGAGGGGTTCATTTAAAATCGAACAAGAGGAATCCTCTTATCTTCAGCAAAACACCTTGAGAGAGATCATTTTATATATTTATTATCACTTCTAAGCTTTAAAAATATATCTGTGGAAAATCTCAAATATATCAGCAAACCATTTCCTCCACACAACCCTGAGCTCCAGCACTTGGCTGCTCAGAGCTAATCTCTGTCATTTCTGTACCGTCTGCTTCCCAAGCCTCATCTGTCTCAGATCACTCAGCAAATCCCCAATGCCCCACGGTTTTACTCATCAATGTATCCTTACATATTTGGAGATTGGGTTCAGCTGGAGACATCAGACTCTCAGGCCATGGCCAGAAAAACAGGGCAATCGGTGATGCCAAAGAAAGGGGTTTTGAGGAAGCATTTACCAGCTTCAGAGAATATTGGAATTAAAAATGTAATGTGTTCAAATCTGTAGCACAACTTCAAAAGTCAGAGTACAATTGAAAGATTGGTTTTACTTAAATATGAGTATGGGAGTAATTCTTCTATCTAACTGTAAGCATGATTTTTTTTTGAAGAATTTGCATCTTGAGGGGACTGTAGATCTGTGATGTAAGAGTTCTCTGAAATTACCGACCCATGTGACCTGCAGTTAGGCAGTACTTTTCACATAAGCATTGCAGTAGCACATTGTCTGTCGGAAAGACAAAATACCCAGGACTTATTGCTGATAAAGAAGATAGGGAGCCAGGGCAATGACTCAGCAGTCAAGAGAACCTGGCTGCTCTCTCAGAGGACCAGAGTTCGATTCCCAGCACCCATGTAGTAGCTCACAACAACCTGTAATTCCAGTACCAGAGGATCCAAGGCCCCACTCTGGTGTCTGTGAGTACTGTCTGCATGTGGTACACAGATATATAGTCATTCAAAACCCCACACAGATAAAAATAACAAATAAATAAAATGTTCAATTTTTTTATTATTATTTTAAAAAGGAGGAACAGGGTTGGAGAGATGTTGGTTAAGTGCTTACCTTGTGAACTTGAGGATCTGAGTTCAATCCTGGTACTGCTGAGTGACTTCTCCTGGGGGGAAGGGAAAAGTGTCTACGCATTCCAGAGAGGGTACCGACAGCAGAGCAGAGAAATGATTCCCCCAGAGTCTGACTTGACAAGCCAATGCGTTTATCGGGGTTGCTTACAGGAGTATAGATGAGGGGTTACTTAGAAATGCAGGCATGGTTCACATGCAGCTGGGGCACCAAAGGGCCCCCCAGCATGGGTGACAAGTCAGGACAGCTGCTCCCTTGGAGTTCTTTGTGTGACTTGCAGGTGACTTGGCTGGTGGGAGAGTTTCCTCTTCCCAGCATCCATCTTACTGTTTCTGTCATCTGGAGAAGGGCCCTGGAAATCTTGTTAACTTAAGGAACTTCTTGCTATTTGTGAGTTATTTACTCCCTCTTTCTGGAGGGGATGTTTTAGTTCAGAGAAAATCAAAGCATAGCAAATATTCACATAAACATAAAGACAAAACCTGCTAGTCAGGGCTGCTCCATGGCTGGGGCGACGACACTTGCTTCCCGAGTTTGTTAACTTGAGAGTGATCCCTCGAACCCATGTAAAGTCAGATGTAGAGAACTGAACCCACAAAACTGTTCTCTCGTTTCCATACGTGTACCATGGTACCCTCCTGAGACCCACACACGCATCATGCACAGATAAACACACAATAACAACAACAGCAACAGTAAAACTCTGCAGATACCATGGCAAATTATTGTAATCCCACCATTAGTAAGGTGGAGAAAGGCGAATCACTGAGGCCCACTGTCCAGCCAGCCTAGCCTGCTCAGCTCCAGTCCTGTAAGACACCCTGCCTCAAAACATAAGATGGGGCCACTCAGATTCAGTAAATAAAGGTGCTTCACTCCAAGCATGATGACTGGGAATCCCAGGGACACACATGGTAGGAGGAGAGAAGTGACTTCTATAAGTTTTCCTCTGACCTCCATGTACATACCGTGGCATACACACATGGGCACACACACACATGTGGGCACACACACACAAAAACAAACAGTAAATTAATAAGAGAAAAGGAATGACCTAGGTTGTTCTCTAGCCTCCACACACATGAACACACATGCACACCTGTATATACCCACACATAACCAAACACACACCAACAATTTAAAAAGAAAGAAAAGAAAAGTTTGCTTTGTTCATAATGCTCATGGCTCATGTCCTGGCTATGTGGCATATGACTTAAGATGGCATCAGTTCTATCAAATGTGCAGGCCTGTGTTAGAAGGAGGGCATTAGTCTGCTGCTGGCTTGTCCACATGGCAGTTCTGCAGTAAAGCAGTGCATGCCAGTCATGTGGATAAACATATTCACTGGGTCCCTAATCCAGCACAAGGTGCCTCGTGGAGTTTTCAGTCTTTATGGACCATCGAGAGATAGTTGACTTCAAACCGAGCTTCTGTGACTGTCTTAAAATCACAAAAGTTCTCTCCTTGTACTATCTTAAGCACACTAATAATCTTTCCCTTTCAAAAGCAATCAAATACTAAGAGGAAAACACAGCTTTATTAAAGAACCAACAAGAACAATATAGTGCATCTTATCAAAAGAAAATGAGCAGCTAGTCTGCATTACTCTCACTAGGCACCAATTTTTATTATGACTATTATTATCTTTTCATTGACTTCTTTATTTGTTTTTATTCTATTTTAATTAAAAATTTCAATTAGCATTTGCAGAATTGAGCTTCATTATGGCACTTCTAAACTATCTTTTTTATTGGTTCTCTTCCCTCACTTCTCTTTGTTCCATTACCCCTGGTGCCCTTCGGCCTCCCCCAACAGCCTCCTTTGTGCTTCCTGGTTATGTAGGTCCTTTGCCCTCTCCATTATTATTTCCACTTATGTTTTATGCTGTCTCTGCTCTCCTCAAGCAATGTTATGATTGTTCCAAGTATGAGGAAGACTGTTTCAGAGCAGCTAATACCAATAACGCAGCCACAGAACTCATTATGAATGAGCACTAAAGGGAGGAAAAATTAGTGGACCACCGCAGATCCACACGCCTGGAGGGAGATCTGTGGTGAATTGGTGGAATGCTGTAGATTGGTGGGTTAGCTGATAACCGACAGGAAACATCACAGACTTCCATCTCAGGGGGCATGTGCTGTTTATCCCCATACTTTAGCTTATTTTTGATTATGGAAATTTTCATAATAGGCTGCTAAAGATGAGTACGAATATATATTTCTAAAGAGCCAAGAAAGCTTCATTAATGAACTCCATTCCTGCTGGGTACTACAGTTACCTACTATGAAAGTGAAGCAAGGCGTTCCCTTTAACTTCTGAAATTCCAGATGAAAACTGATACAGGGAGCTGTTAAGAATGAGAATAAATTAGACTAGAATAAGGTACAAGCTTCACTCAAATGTCTGACAATGAGAGGTATATGGGGGTGCATCGGAGACTGTGACTGCCACATCTTGTTTGGGGTTCTGGCACTGTTCACAATGCATTGAGCCCGCAATCATGACCCTGTGGGTATTATTTTAGACCTGAGACAGAATATCAATGTAGGAATTGTAAAGAAGACTTTGCTTAGTTCTTCCCCACCAAATAGGAGGCAGCCATTAGTGCTGGGGTTGCAGATGTGTATGCATCCAGGACGCCAGGCTCAGCCTTCAGTGTGGGTGCCGGGGATCTGAACTCAGGTCCTCATATCTGTGGAG